TTGCAGTGTGCACTCTCAGGGACCGGCACCACACCCGCTCTGGTCCCCTGTGCTCCTGTCACCAGGATCGAGCTGGAGCTGGTGCCACGCCTCTGACTCTGAACTAAGTCATCCTCTTTTCTTATAAAGTTAGTCTGCCTCAGCATCTCACTATCGTAACAAAAAAGGATAACTCAGGACCCAACACATCTCATGTCTTTAATGTCAGGTAGTTGTTCTTGTGGAACATTGTGGAAGGTTCTCTAGAATATCTTATGTATACAAGAATGGGTGGGTTAGAGTAGTCAGATACTGTCTGTCTTCTCAACTCTTTAATTGGCATTATAAAAGTGATAGAGTGGGTTTCAAGTCAGTATAATGTCTCAGGAATGTACACAGAAGATAGAGACGTCTATATGACTGTATGAAAGAAGATTCAGCCAGGTGTGAATGAACGTAAGCCACATATAAATATATATCCTGCTGGGCAGCACAGCAAACACAGCTGTGTTTTCCTGTGTATGGGGAACAGGGGAAGGGGACGTTACCAGAACCTCTGCAGTGAGTCCTGGTCTCCTGCGAGCCACGGCAGCACACAGCAAATTACAGGAAAGGTAGACAAATGAGACTGAGAAGAAGCTGAGCTTTGGGTCTGATCAGTGCTGCTCTGGGCAGCAAAGATGAGAGCACCCCCCACCCCCAGGTTACCGCACCTTTTATTCAGTACTTAGTACATTGGGAGAAACAGATGTAACAAATGACTTGCAGAGAGGTCAGTACATCCGGGTAAACAAGATGGTAACAGTCCAAGAGCAATGAGGAACTGAGTAGATGTTTGTTCCTCCCAGGATGTCTTCAGCTGGTGTAATCTTGTCCTGGAGAATCATAGCATCATCACTGGATCATTGAGGTCTCAGTTGTGATCGGAGGTCAAAATGCAATTATGTTTTGGAATTCCATAGCTGGGCTGTAGGCAGGAGAACTAGGCTAACCAAATGATTTTACCCTAAAATTATGTAGCATTGCTCCCGACACCCGTGTATGTATTTGTGCCTTTTGTATTAAGCAGGGATATAAAATGTGTTTTAAGGACACAGGCAGCCCTGGGGTGTCTTTTTGACCTGAACAGGAGCAGTCCGTTCAGATGCCAGCCTGGAGGCTGGTGCTCAGCGCTGCAGGGTAGTGGGGCGAGGGGTGGGGCATCTTCACTGCAGGGGCATAGGCTGCTCCTCCCTGGTGCCCAGCACACTCCAGGGAGCCCAGAGAGAGACTTTTCTTTCCTTTTGGAGTGGACACGACACATAAGCCATGGGCAGAAGCCGAGATGTGTGGGCACTGCTACTGCTCTGTCTCATTAGCGGGTCCGCCGGAAGCCAGGTTCCCGACAGTGTCCTGCACACCAGACTGGCTTGTTTGGCTGTCTGCAGTGGCTGTGTCAGACCCCAGCCCCACAGTGTCCCCACCCCTGCAGGCAGGGGCACGGCTGCGTTGCTGCCTCCCTGACCGCCCGTGCTGCAGCCGGTCTCCCTCCCAGAGCCCGCTTCTGTCTGGGAATTACATTCATAGCTGATGGGAGAAAGTTGGAGGAGTTTTAAAGAAAAGCCAACCTCTATTTTTAGGAGCTGAAACCAGAACCGTGCTTTGGCACTGATGGTGAAGAGAAGCCGGGTAACTTAGGACTTGCAGCTCTGTATTCCCGCCCAGTGCCCGATTGCAGTCCTATTTTTATTTTATTTTATTTATTTTTTATTTTATTTTATTTATTTTTTTTTGCTTAAATTCTTTCATTGGTACATTTTAGGTATACAATACGTTTACATTTATCATTGGGTGCTTGTACCTGAACATGATGTATCTTGGTTCTTATTTTTTCCCCATTCCCTGTGTGCCCTTCCCTATTTACATAGACTTCGTTTCCATTTTTTTCCTTTTCTCATAATTGTTCCTTTCCCTTCTTTCCTTTCCCCATCTCCCCCCACCACCCCTACCCCTTTGGACCTTTTCCTGTTTCAAAGTATCAATTATTAGTTATTAATCCTTGTAGTCCTTATTTACACTGTCAATTTCTCACACTAGAGGAACTATTTGGCATTTACACATGTGTGTCCTGTTTATTTCACTTAAGAGTATGGCCTCAGTGTGCATCCATTTAGCTATAAATGTCTAGTTTCTCATTCTTTATGGCTGAGTAGTACTCCATTTTATTAAAAAAAACCACATCTTCTTTATCCAGTCTCCACTTGATGGGCACTTGGGCTGTTTCCAAGCTTTCGCTATTACAAACTGTGCTGTTATGAACATGGGCTCACATATATCTCTGTGGTATGATTCTTTTAATTCTTTGGGGAAGATACCCAGTAGGGGAATAGCTGGGTCAAATGGGACTTCCAGCCCTAGTTCTTTAAGGTATCTCCACACTGATTTCCACAGTGGGTGCACCAGTCTGCACTCCCACCAACAATGGAGAAGGGTTCCTTTCTCCTCACGCCCCACCAGCATTTGTTATTGGTTGATTTCTTGATAGCAGCCATTCTTTCTGGAGTAAGGTGGAATCTCAGTGTTGTTTTCATCTGCATCTCTTGAATGACCAGTGATGTTGAACATTTTTTCATTTGTTTATTTGCTGCCTTTACTTCTTTGTCTGAGAAATGTCTTTGCATTTCAGAGGCCCATTTTTGAATTGGGTCTTTGAATTTGGGGGGTCTGATTTTTTTCAGTTCTTTATATATTCTAGATAGGAGTCCTTTGTCTGAATTACAGCTGCTAAAAATTTTTTCCCACATTATAGTTTGTCAGCTCTGTTGGTGGTTTCTCTTGCAGTGCAGAAGCTTTTTAATATGATGAAATCCCAGTTATTGATTCTTTCTGCTAGTTCCTGTGGTACTGAGGTTTTGTTCATAAAGTCTTTTCCTATGCCAATATCTTCAAGAGTTCTGCCTAACGTATCTTCCAGCAAATTTAGTGTTTCTGTCTTAATATTTAGATCTTTAATCCACTTTGATCTTAGTTTAGTGCATGGTGATAGGTATGGGTCTAGTTTTAATCTCTGTGCAGTCTTATTTTTAGAAATATACTGGCTGGTTTAACACGGCCTGGAGAGTCTTCTATGGTGGCAAGGAGTCATCTTTTATAAAATAACTTGGAAATAGTGAAATAATAACTTACATGCTGTATCTCAGCTCAGAGTTAAAAAACTTGATGTAGTAATCGCAAAGGGTGGAAATAACAAGAAAGACTCAGGGACAGCCTGTGCACCCCCAGATCCAGGATAAGAGGGAAGCATGGATGGCTGTGGGAGATTGAAGAGAAATCCATGGAAACACTTTAGATAGAAAATATTTTAAAAATGGATTTGACAGCACCAGTGGCTGATGTAACTTAAACCATATGTCTTTGTACCGTGGCTGCTGGCCTTTGGAGTATATACCTTTTTCAGTCTTTAAGGAGGGTTTTACCAGTTGTAGCTTTTAAAGGCTTTTCTCCCCTGTGTAACTTACTCAGGAGTTGTAATGGTAGGAACCGAGTATTGAGAATCCTTCTCCAGTCTAGGCCCTTTCCTGTTTTTAGTATCAGATCTCTCTTTTCATTTCTAAGAAGTCAAATTGCTGTGCAGATCTTAGCACAGGGATCTGTCCCGAGACTCCACCATCTGTCTCTGTTCCTTGTAAATTCCCACACTGGAATCATCTGTCCTGTTTCTCTTCCACACTGCTCATCTTACTTTGGGGCTCACAGTTGTACCAGATCCCCGACTTTGGCCACAGGTGGCCAGGGTGGCACCCCGTGGAGAGGAGAGCCAATCGGCCTGAAGAACTCGCCTTGCAGTGGACAGAAGCAGCAAAGTGTTTTGATGCGGCCACGCTCCTCTAGGCAACCAGATCAGTCTTCATGGAGGATTTGGTCGCAATCTTAGCCCTAGTAAGAGACAGGACTGGGACTCGGTGGAGCAGGGATGTTGAGGCTGCGCCCTCCGTGCCCCCGGACACGCCTTGTCCCAGGGACCCAGCGGATTCCTACAGGGAGAGGACGCTGCCTCCTTTCCTTCACTGTTGCTAGGAGACACTGACTGTGGTTAGTTTCGTTTGTCTTTCCAAGTATGTGCCTGAGTGTTTAACCCAGACTAGTCAAATGACGGCTGAGCCGGGGCAGCCTTAGTCTGATTTTGAGAAGTCCTGTTTTGGTTTGGTCTTTGTAACTAGATTAGAAAAGATGAAAATAGTTGAAAATACTCAGTAATCAAAAAGAACCAAAGGAAAAGAATGTTTTCCTACTTTCACTATAATGGGCAGATTGGTAAAATATTGTAGGGGAGTTTGTATTCTGTGTCCAGATTTAGAATATCCATGTCCCTGGGCCAAGCAGTTCTGCTTCTGAGTACACATAACAGGGAAAGAGTGGACAGGTAGGAAAAGGTGTTTCTACAAGAATTGTAGCATTATTCATCACAGCAAAAAAGGGAAATAAATACCTTTCAGTAGGAGATTAAGTGAAAGCATTTCATACAGTGGCATATTATGACACTGTTACAGGTGCATTTCAGGTTCCCTTTAAATTGGCATTGAAAAGTACTAGATGATACAGTGTGAGAAAAGATCATAGAGCAATGAGTATAAAAATGATTCCATTTTTGTATTTTTTGTTTTTGTTGGTACCGGGGACCTTGCAATTGCGAGGCAGATGGCGGAACCACTGAGGTACATCCCTGGCCTTCCATTTTTGTTTTAAAATGGTTTATTTATGAATGAGTCTTTAAAAGTCTGGTTATACATAAATTGCTATTTCTAATGACTTTTGGGGAGTAGGGAGAGGAAAGCAGGCCTCTCTTATTCTCACATATACTTTTGTATCTCTTAGAATTTTGAGTCAGCTTGTATCGCCTCCATAGTCAAGACAGCAGGAGCAGGCCAGGTGCCAGTGACCTCCACGCGTCCCTCTTAGGGGGAGTCCTCACCGTGCCACTGAGGGCATCGTGTGCGGTCGCTGGCCTATTTGATGTGCTCTGACACATTTTCCTTCCACAGTGAGAAGGCTGCTCACGTCTGGCATCGTGGTGCAGGTGTTCCCGCTGCATGACCGCGAGGCCCTGAAGAAGCTGGAGGATAGCTGGTACACGCGCTTCTCCTTGCACTGTCAGCCCATAGGTAGGTGTCGTGTGCACCACCCACTCGAGCTCGGCCTGCTAGTGCATGTCTGGTTCACAGAACATGAGCAACCGAGGGGCCTTCGTCTGCCAGTGCTCCTGTGCCAGTAGAAATGAATGTGCCCCAGCGGGCTGTTCTGGAGCTAACGTGTGGATCTTGCTTTGCGTTTCCGAATACTTTCTGTGCAGCGTGGTGAAATCTGGCGCAGTGGAAAAATTGCGTATCTTTGGACAGGGAGGCAGGAGACTGCAGATGGGTGTCTCCTTGGCAAGCAGCATTTACAGCTCAATGCAAAAGTGGGGGGCATAAATTTGACACCCAAATAAGTCCCTCCAAAGGCGTGCCTGAGCTCAGTCTAGCACCTTAGAGACTAGGGCCAGCCCCAAGATGAGCCTTTCTTTGAGAAGAAAGTGCCCACTCAGTGAGGAAGTGAGGGGAAACTGAGTCAAGCTACCTGGCAGAGCAGCCTTGGCAGCTAAGGCCTAGGCCCCGCGCTGGGCAGCGTGAGGCTGTCCACAGTGACAGATGGGGTCTCTGTAGTGAGTGCAGCACGGACGCGCCCTGCGCTCCCTGGGAAGCGAGGCTGTTGAATGGCCCCCACTTACCTGAAACCTGAATGAGCACAATTGCAGGGCTGAACAGGAAGTCTTTGACGGTCAGGACTGAAGTTCTTCTTCTCTACCACAGACCGTATTCGTGGCTACTTCGGGGAGACGGTTGCTCTTTATTTTGGGTTTTTGGAGTATTTCACCTTTGCCTTAATCCCCATGGCCGTCATCGGGCTGCCTTACTACCTGTTCGTGTGGGAGGACTATGACAAGTACGTGGTCTTTGCCTCCTTCAACCTGCTCTGGTCCACCGTGATCCTGGAGGTGTGGAAGCGCAGCTGTGCCGACATGACCTACCGCTGGGGGACGCTGCTCATGAAGAGACAGTTCGAGGAGCCCCGGCCCGGGTTCCACGGGGTGCTGGGAGTCAATCCGGTCACGGGCAGGGAGGAGCCCCTCTACCCCAGCTACAAGAGACAGCTGCGCATCTACCTGGTCTCCTTGCCGTTCGTGTGCCTCTGCCTCTGTCTCTCACTGCACATCATGATGATCTACTTTGACCTGGAGGACTGGGCCTTGCGTGTCCATGAGGAGAGCAGCACCGAGTGGACCGGGGTCCTGTTGTACGTGCCCAGTGTCATCTACGCCATCGTGATCGAGATCATGAACCGCCTCTATCGCTATGCTGCCGAGTTCCTGACGGCCTGGGGTGAGCATTCATGCTTTTTCTTTTTGTCTTACTCGCTCCCAGGCAGTGATGCTGGGATCAGAGGATCTCCAAGCTGCTTCTGCGGGGAAGGCAGGCCAAACATGGGGAAGAGTTCCTCGGCATTGTGAGCTCTAGTGATGTCTGTTTCCTGGTTACCACAGCCCTTAAGTGTTTCTGTTTTGTTTTTTAGGGTTTTTGTTTGTTTATTTTGAGACAGGGTCTTGCCATATAATTCTAGCTGGCTTTGAACTCACTATGTAGCTCGGGCTGGGCTCCAGCTCATGGTGATCTTCCTGCCTCAGCCTCCTGAGTGCTGGAGTTACAGGGCTGTGCCGTCAGCCTGACCACAGCCCTGAGTTACCGAGGGTTACCATGTCCTGGGGCCTCACTAAACACTATATCCATAATCTCTCATTTTCACTTCCTTGGGGCCCCAGGAGACATGTTGTTTCACCATTTTCTGGTGCTTAACCGGGTCCCGACAGCAGAGCCGGGCGAATCCAGAGCCCTCTGTGCAGAAGCCATGCTCCTCGTGCTGTCACTGTGATTCGTGAGGAGGGTAAAATACTCGGAAATCATCTTCGTGATGCTAGGCTGGTGACCGACAGCTGGTCCTCAGACCCTGGTCCTGCTCCAGGTGGGCGGGCGCTGAGCATGGCTGTCGCGCCCCTCGAGGTGGTGGTCATGCTGCATCTGTGGGAAAGAGGACTCAGTTCTGGTTTAAAACGGCCTTCGCAGCCACTCACTGTTTAACTTACATATTCAGTCCAGCAAATAAGCAGATGTGCTGTGTTATTTCCCAAGAGGTCTAAGCCTTCATTTCACAGACCGTGAAGACGTGCTGAGATATTTTCATGAGCAGTGTAACAGCAGCAGCCCCGTATGTTGAGAGCTTTCACGTCCTGTGGGGGCAGAGGTCCTGTGTTATTTCTGACCCTGACAGTGACCCTGGGAGGGGCGAGCAGGCCGAGGAGGAGGTGAGTGGCCGGGTAGCCCCGAGCTGCCAGTCTTTTTTTTTTTGCAGTGCTGAGACTTGAACTCAGGGCCTCCTGTGCTAGGCAAGCGCTCTACCACTGAGCTACGTCCCTGGCCCTTTTCACTTTAATTTATTTTGAGACCAGCTCTTCCTAGGATGCCCTGTCTGGCCTTGAACTTATGATCCTCCGGCTTCGGCCTCTAGAGCAGCTGGGGTTAGAGCTGTGTGCCACTGCGCTCAGCTTGCAGGGCCTTTTCTGGTCATTTGCCAACAGTTTCCAAATGTCTGACTTTCTTTCCCGCGCTAATACTTTGCAAATCATTTGAGGCCACAGGGCATTGCAGCGCCATGAGAAGCACATCCCCGCGTGCTGTCCCGGCCGTTGGGAGTGCTGTGACCACAGCCTGCGTGTAGGGACTGAAGCCCTGGCGCCGAGCCCAGACCCCACTCTCCCTGTGACGGCTCACGTTGTCTTCCTCTCTGAGAGAACTTCTCTCTCCTTCACGTTTCAGAGAATCACCGATTGGAATCTGCTTACCAGAACCACCTTGTTCTGAAAGTCTTGGTGGTAAGTGGAGGTTTTATGTACAAGGCTTGAATAACGAAACCGAAGCATACCGCTGAAAATTGAGACACGTCAGTATGAAGTTGCTTCTAATCATGTAAGATGTAAGATATGAGACAGTTAACATTTTGTGTAGATAGGCAAGATTGATGAACAAGTAATGTGCACAGCTGGGCTTAGCAGTTCCCTTACAGATGTGCACATGGCATGACACTCTGAGTTACACAAATCAGTATCGCAGCCCATTTCTATGGTGTAAAAAGCGAGCCACTTTCTAGACAAGTTTCCATTGTTATTCGTTCAGTTATCTTCTTGAATGTTTTATTATTCACCAATCTCCAGGTACCTGCACTCTATTTAATGAAGGGGGACTAAATCATTTTTAAAAATTTCATTAGAGAGATTTCCAGAGTGTGGAGGTTCCCAGCCCTTCTTACCGGTGGTGGGAGGAGCGGTGGAGGGAGGCGCCCTGTGGACGCTGGCTGGTGGCACCTGCTTCCCCCCTTGCTGGGAGCTCGGAGGCGCCTGTGTAGTGCCGAGGACCGGGAGGTGTGGAGGCTGCGAGCTCTACCCTGTGTTCTCCCGCGGTCCTCATGCTCCACGCATAGAGCGGCTGTGTTCCGGGCCTAGAAATCTCCTGAGATGCTGGTCCCTCTGGTGTTTCAGTCCTGGAAGATCAGAAACCTCTGCTAGGAGAACTCAGGAAGTAGGTGAACTCAGGGAGGCAGGGGCAGGTGGGACCTGGAAAACCTGCCACCAACGGATCAGAATTCAGCATTTGGCCATTAAGAGGGAGCAGGTGGCCATGAAGCATCTGAGAGGCTCTGAGGGCCTCACACAGGCTGGGAAAGAACTGATGTTTAAGATGTCCATGAACCAGCACGGACGCTGCGCTCTGTGCCACATTGCTGCCCGCGGTGCTGGGTGCTAGGTGTGGTTCTGGCAGCGGCCTTCTAGAGCCCTGTGTGAGAGTCTGTTCTTCCTTCGTGACCAGCTGCCCCGGCTTCTGCTTTTCAGCTTCTGCTCTGACTTAACACCCACTCCTGGCCTGGGCCGATCTCGCTGCTCGCTGATGGGGTGCTCACTCTCACACAGCTGGTACCCCTGTGCTGCGCAGACAGAAGTGTGTGAGGCAGAGGGAACCCCGACTGGCTGCAGGTTCTTGAGTCAGGCCTGCTTGAAGATGCGGCACGTTTTGTGGCAGGATCTCCAGCCAGCCGCCCCAGCCAGTCCCCTGTGCTCTGGCAGGCGGAGAAGTTCCGCCTCTGCGCCCGAGACGCTTGCTGGGCTGGGCGGTTGGCAGGGCCAGCTCTCCCGTGCCAGCGGCCCGGTCGTCTGGGGTCTCTCTGAGGGAGCAGGGTCTGAGCCCCGAGCACAGAGCGGCTTCTTGCATCGGGCCCTTGGGTGGTGGGTCACCCACCAGTGCCCCCAGCTGCCCGCCGGCCCCTGGGGGGTGGGTTCAAGTCTGGGGTACGGGGCTTTGGGCCTGGGCCGCTGTGGTAGACGGGCCTTTCTGCCTTGGCGGCCCGCACCCTGGCACCTCCCTGTGGGACTGAGGGAGCGTGTCCCTGGCCTGATTGACTCCCCTTCACCGGTTCTGCTGGGCTGGCCTGGGTTGGGGGCTTCCTATGAATGGGGGGGCAGGAGGCACCCGGGCAGGAGGACCCACTGGGCCTCGGTCTCCGCCTCTCAGGCGGGGACTTGGGATGTGTGTTCTTCGGCCCTGGACTCCCAGACGGTGCGCTGTGCTCTCGGCACTGTCCAGGGCTCCCCTCCCGCTCCCCTCACGCTCCTTGCGGAGTTGACAGCTGTGTGCAGCGGGGGCAGGGGCAGAGGAGACCCTGCGGCACCCGCACTGCGCCATCCCCTCCGAGCAGAGCCCCTGCCTGTGTGCTTGACTCTGCCTCTGCGGGTGTTGCCAGGTCCCGCAGTGCAGCAGCTGACACTGCTCTTCCTCCGCAGTTCAACTTCCTCAACTGCTTCGCCTCGCTCTTCTACATCGCCTTCGTCCTGAAGGACATGAAGCTTTTGGGCCAGGTGAGTGTGACTGACAGAAAAGCAGCGGCTTTTTCAGTCCAGCGGTGGTTTCCTCTATTCAGGGAATGCAGTTGTCACTGTGGACCATGCTCAGCTGAAAATGAGTTAAACATAACTCACAGAATTAATCACATCAGGCAGTAAAATCAGTTACATATTTAGTTCTGTTAAAGCGATTGTAATAACAAAGATGTGTTCAGAAGTTGAGCTTTTGCCTCGTGAATTTTATTTTTAGATTAACCGGTTGGTGAGTTTTACAGACCAGTAAATCCTGTGCAGTGCTCTTTCCTCCCTGAAGTGTTGGAGAAAGTCCTATGTTTACTTTGATGTGCTGTAATTTTGGGACCATATAATATTGACTATTAAGTTGTGTACAAATTACTAATTTCTAGATTGTGTTTTCATACCCAAGCCAATTATCAGTAAGAGGTGTTGATTCTGGTTTCTAATATTCTGAGGTTGTTAGTGAGCAGTGTCGCAAGGCCCAGGCTTCTTAGTGCTTGTGCTAGAGCTTGGGGTAATTTTTCAGGAAATTTAAAAATCTGCATAATCTTTTAAGTAGTTGTGGTGCTAACAGCTTGCGTAAAAGTAAGATTAACTATTGTGTTCTTAACAACTATGCCAGATCTATTACTGCCTTTTAAACGTCAGTTTTGAAACTCGAGCAAATCAAGCGAATGCATGTGCTGTGGACAAGCTGGAGGTGCCCGCCCTCGCTCCGTGTTAGCTGGGGGACTTCGCGTTTCTAGGGCTGTCAGAGGGCGGGACGGAGGAGGGCTCTTTAACAAGAAAGTCATAAGGCCAGCAGCTCGAGGTGTGGTGGAGTGGAAATTAATTCAGCCTCCCTGGAAACCCCAGGGTAGCTCTTCAGAGAACCTCAGCTCCCCTAGTCAGGCGCCAGAGAGCACCGGGCTCCTGTGCGCAGAGCCTGGGAAGCGGATGCTTCCCGCTGAAAGCTGGAATGGAACAATTCAGCGGCAGTGCTCTAGGCAGGTGAAAAGACTCTCAGTGACCTGCGGAAAAGCGTACAGTATGTTAAGTGACGAGGCAACCTGTGAAAGTGCATACCTGGAATGACGGCAGCTTTACTTTTCATGTGGCTGGGCAGAGCGTCCCGAGAAGAGGCAGCAGCCCTGAGGTGCTTGGCCCTGCTGCTTCCATTCTGTTTCTGTTTTCTACTCTGAAGAACTATAGGTTCAATTTATAATTTAATTTTTTAAAAATGTTTTAGTTGAATTGTTGTTTTCAGAGTTGGCAACCTCATGTGGATCCCTGTGTTGTAGTCAGGACGAGATGGCAAGGAACGTGATTTCAAGTTGATGCGTTAATCAAGTTCTTGACTAATCAGTTTCCTCTTATAATTGTACCTGTGTTTTAATGTCTTCTCTGTGAAGAGTTGGAAATTATAAGCATACCCTGAAACACAGCTTTTCTAGCCCTAGTCCGTATACCAGCAGCACACTGTTCATTGGAGCTCCCATTGTATTTGTTGCACAGCTGTGTCCTGTTAGGGTTTGAAGCTGCTTTGCCCAGCATGACTTCTGTGTTTCTCCTTAGAGCTTGGCCACCCTCCTGATCACCTCCCAGATCATTAACCAGATTGCCGAGTCTCTTCTTCCTTACTGGCTGCAAAAGAAGCACAGTGTGAAGGTGAAGAGGAAGGTCCAGGCTTTAAAGGTGGACATTGATGCCACCTTCTATGAGCAGGTCGTCCTGGAAAAAGAAATGAGCACCTATTTGGTAAGTTGGAGTGTTGCTGAACCTCACATGCCCGAGCGTGAGTCACAGCTGTACTGGGTTCCACAACACAGTACACTTGTGTCTCACACGTGACAACTTCTAAGTGTTTCCCAGCCGGTTTTTCACTGTGAGCCACTTTAAAAGGTGCAAACTCTAGGCTTAGCTTTTTGAGGATTCTCCGTACTGATTCCCATAGCACTTTACATTTTCATCAGCAGTTCCATTCGATGCAGCTATTCTCCTTCTACTAATTGTACTAGATTATACTAGGGTTCACCCCAAGAGTTAAAGACCTCATACTACAGTGATCCACGCACACCATGTTCATAGCGGCACAAGTCATAACAGCTAGATCTTGGAAGTGGCCTGTACGTCCATCAGCAGATGAATAGATAAAGAAAATGTGATGTTTACACACAGTGGAGCACTACTGTGCTATAAAGGAGGATAAAGTTGAGTCATTTGTAGGAAAATGGATGCACCTCAAGACCATAGTGTTAAGTGAAATAAATCAGACACAAGCTTAAATATCACATGGTTTCTCTCCTATGAGAAACCTAAAATACAAATAAAGAGCGAAAGAAAAGATAGATGATAGGAAGTATGGAGAGAGATCTTTCTCAGAGGGGAAGAGGGTCACGACTGGAGGAAGGGGAAGGAGAAGGGGTAAGAAAGGAATGCAGACGTGCTGTGTACTCGCTTCAACTCCACACAAGGAGTGTACATATCACATGCTATGTGGACTACTAAACAAAGGAGAGGTTGGAACTGTGTGTTGAAGTGCTCTGTCCTGAAGCTGAAGTTCTGCGCAGCCGCAGTGCAGGGCAATTTAGAGAATTGTTTGCTCTGCAGAGAGGGGCTGGGAAACTTGCACCAGAGAGGATGAAGCCAGGAGAGAAGGTCTGGGAGAAGCAAGGCGTGGATGCTCTTGACTCCCCAAACTCAGAGAAAACACTCATTCAAGCAAAAGGTTCTGACCCAGTGCTGAAAAATCCAATGCCAGTGTGATTTTAGTTTAAATGAGTGCTGTTGTAAATACGAAACTGTTCCCTTTGAGGCCGAATTTCTGACTCATGTAAAGGAACTGCAAGCAGATTATTAAGGGGTGGCTGCTGGGGTACCTGAAAGCTGCAACTCGTGAAGAGCCAGCTGTGCATTCACGCGCTGTCATTGGGGTCAGGCCAGGCTCGCCGTCTCTGCCGGGCAGGGCCTGGGTGTCTCTCCCGCCCAGCGCCCTCCTGCTCGCCAGGCAATGCTTGCTGCTTGGCTTGTTAACTGAGGACCCATCTTGGTAGACTTCCTGGATCTCGTGTCCACTGGGATGAATCGTCTTCAGATCACTGACTTTCTTGGCTGGCTTGCAGTTTTTCTCCTGCGCTGCAGGACTTTGGTCTGTAAGTTCATCTTGGGCAAGAGCTGCCCACTCCCCCACTGCCCACGCTCCCCGCCTCTCAGTCGCCTCCATGGAGCCTCCAGGTCCCTGGTCCATGGCCGGGCGCGTGCGGCCCTGAGCTCCCATCTGGACAAAGCCAGGTCCCACAGATCTGCTCGGCTCTGTGCTGGTGGATCACTGTCCACGCAGCTGTCATCCTGGGCTCAGCTGTGGCCTTGTCTGCCTTTGCTCGAGGCGGGCCACTGTCCTCCCCCTGGTCCTGGTCGCTGGGTGGCTCCAGTTACACTGCAGGGGCCGGGGTGCTCGATTCCCAAGGATCCTCGCCACTGCGGGCCCTGGGCGTGTCCACCTTGCTGTCTTGCACTTTATCTGTCTCTTACCTATGCAGCTGTTTTCCCGATTTTTGCTTGGTGATCAGGTCTTTTGATTCACGTATCTAAATTTTCCACTAGCATTTTCTGCGGTGCTGGGTTTGGGAAGAAGGTTCAGAGTATAAACCCAACAGCACAACTGGAACGACGGCTGCACTGTTGTGTTCTCAGATGAAACGAGGGAGGGGCGGCACACAGGGAGAGGGACAGGTGGGGAGCGGGGACCCGGGGCAGCGTCCTGGCCAGACTGGCTGAGGGCTGCCCACCGAGGGTTCTGTTCCGCACGATCCTCTCCGTGCACAGGTCAGGATGGTAGTTGGGACCACATTTGTTTTTGGTCCCTTGGCCTCTGGTGGACACTGACCCCACGCTCGTCGCTCTGTCCCCTCGGGAGAGGCCTCAGTGGGCTCCTTTGCCGACTGTCCCCCTTCTCCCGCTGGCTCCCCCTTGCAGCCTCCCCAGTCCTTAGCACCCTCCTGCTTCAGAGGAAGCCAACCCTTCATCTCTGCTGTTTGCATCCTGCCTCTTCCTTGGCTCCTAGTCATTCTCCATAGTTTTGTCTCTGATGTCTTAATCCTCTTCCTATAATCAGAATCTGCTCTTCTTTCTCCTGAAATTGGGCAAGCAGCAGCATCCCCGAAAGTGCCCCAGCCCGAGTTCAGCCCTCTGCACATGGCTCCTCCTGCTTTCCCTGGCCAGGGTGGACTGCACAATCGCTCAAACAGCACATTCTTCATCCGCACCATTCCTGCATCTGAGAACCTAGCACTGATGGGGTGGTGTTGCCCAAATCCAGGACCTCTGACAGCACTTTTGTGGAGGGAGGCGGGGTCCAGCACTTACTGACGTGTGACAACACTGGAGTCATGCTCGGGTCGGACACAAAGCAGACATCCGAAGCTCTGTTACAAGTCACCCAGTGGCCAAATCAGGAACAGAGTTCACAGGTGACTTCCTGTGCTACCGCATGGCTCTCTGCTTCGAAGTGGAGAAATGGGTGTCCCCATTGGTCTCGCAGGGCCAGGGCTCCTTAACTCACCTGCAGGGTCCCGCGTGGCCTGGCCATGTCCCTCCTCATCTCCTGCATGCTCCTGCTTTCATCTCCAGTTGAGAGCGACATCTGCTTTCCACGGTCTGCATGTGTGGAGAGGGGAGGTGTCGTGAGCCACCTAGATATTTTAGGTGGTGGTGTCCTACTCACCCATCCTTCCTTCTTGGTGCATTTTGCTGCACTGAAGTTAGAGAGTGTAGAAGTGCATGTTCTGTATCTCAACTGACTGCTCTAGTTGAGTCTAAGATAACATTACCCAGCTCTGGGAGAAAGCTAAAACTTAAAACATGTATATTATAACAGTGGTGCCTGCTTGCTTACTGTAGAAAACTTGGAAAATGCAGGACAAATAGGAAAAAGAAATCCTGTCACACCCCCAAGGGTGACACACCGGGGCCCCTGGCCCTGTCCCCACCCAGGATCTGGGCTGTGCTGCCCCATGGTCCTCACTGGCCACGCTGTCCTTCCTTGGCTGCTGCTTGTCCAGCTGTGTGGCCATGGAAGGCTGGGTTTCTGCAGCCAGTGCTCCACTTTGAGCAGATTGTGGCACCAGGGGGAGCTGCCTGTGCCGGAAATGGAAAGGAGGGTCGGCCTTGCACTGAAACATTTTTGTTGTTGTTGTTGTTGTTGTTGTTATGGAAAATATCATATTTCAAAAGATACTGCATTTAAGTTAATGTTATTATTTCACTGAACCAAAAAAAGGTACTATTTCACAGAACTAATGAACAAAATTAAGTTTCCCAGGTTTAATTTCTGATTTGGTAAATATCACTAGATGAAATCACATAAGGGTGTCCTTAACGCATTCAGTAACTTTTCAGAGTTTAAACCAAGAAGTCTGAGAATTGCAGATGTGGAACAGGCTCCCTGCCTTGCTTTCTGAGGTGCTGGCCTCCTGGTTCCTCGTGAGGCTCAGTGGTGGCTTTGGAAGTGGCCCTGCAGTGGGGCCACCTTGTTGGATCCCACGGTCAACTTGGTGACAGATTTTAAAGGCTCTTTTATAATGAGTAAGTTACCTGTGGAGAGCCCGTAGAGCCTCCTGTTCCCTGTCCATGGCATCTTTTCTGGCTGCATGTGGCTGGCATATGGGGACCCTGTTGAGTTCTGGATCTTCACCTGCAAGTTTGCTGCACCCTCCTAATATTTCCAGCTTTATAGCTTTTCTATACCCCGTTATTTCAGCTACAGATAATGTCTCCTTTCTCTCTTCAGTTCTGTTAGGCTCACTCAGGTGTCCAGGGCACTTGTGTACTATTTTATTACAGGAATCTTTACCTTAGTCCTGATTTTTTTGTCTTCCTACCATTGCATGTTATATTTGCTCTGTGTTTTGGGACATGACATTTTGTCAGTTTAAAAATGTTTTGTCTTTCTTATTTTCTAAGAGATTTTTTATTTAAAAAACCTGAGTGTGAAGTTTTATCATTTTTTAAATTTTATTGTGATTGTCATTATCTCCTTATTTAGTATTTTTAGTCGCATTTAAAATTTCCTAATGGTACACCTGCTCAAATTTAAATGATTAACATTACTGGTTGAATATTTTTATATACATTTCTGTGTAGAGTGTGCTACACAGCAGTGTATATATTTAGGATTTTTATGCCATTAGCTGATAATTTTCTTTCTTGGTCACTAAGGGCAAGGCATTATTTAGAATAGAAACCCTGTTTCTAACATACAGCCTGGCATTTAGCAGTGACTCAGTGTCTTGGGTGTCTTGGTTACTTTTCTTGTTACTGGGGAAAATATCCTACACACACGTTAAAGGAGGAAAGGTTTATTTTAGCTCACAGTTTGTAGAGATTTCAGTCCCTAGTCGGCTTGTGCCAAGGCAGCGCGGCCTGGCAGAGGGGCCTGGCAGAGGAGAACAGTCCATGGCAGGCAGGCAGGAGGCAGTGGAGAGCAAACCTGCCTTCTTTTTGTTCTTTTATATTCTATCCAGGATACAAGCCTATTGATTGGTGCCACCCACACCCAGGTGGGGCCTAGAACTGTGCTGATCCAATTAGGGGGCTAATTCAGACATCACACACCCTTTATCCATATTCACACACCCTAGATCCAGCCACCTCCAAAAAGCCCCGCCTATGAGCGCATGAGGCTTTAAGTGACATCTAGATACCAGCCATAACACTCGGTGTAATATTTAATAGGAAAAGGACAGCCCTGTCCCTGAGGT